CAACGCCGGATTATTCGATCTTTGGCATATTAAGCCTGATGTTCAGGAAGAGTTAAAACATGGCAAAATTCCCCAAGCCCTTTAATCAATGCCGGTAAAACGTTTTAATGATGGATTGCTGTTTTAATTGCACCCCTGTGACATCCCACTTCTCTAGAGTTCAGTCAGTTATTGCAGCCCAGCACTATCTAACCAGCCCCTGGGTGAGCATTGGTTTCTGTCAGCTATCCACCAGGATTTTAGCACTTTCAGATTTACCCCAAACTCAGCCTTTGCTCTACCGAGGCCAGCTACTTTCCAGTGGCCAAAAGCCAAGGAGACACCCCAAGCCCCCAGCCCAAGGGCTTGGCTGCCCTTCAAAAGTCCACCTCAGCTGGAGCAGAGAGAACTAGCAGTGATTTTGCTTATACAGTCAGCTCCAGACGTTGGAGGGTCTCCAGTGGGACACTGGGCTACTGTCCAGCTGGTGCCATTATCGGAATGCTTTGTTATCTGCAGGGCTGGGATTTTTTGCAGGAGGCAGTGGGGGGCTGCCGGGTATGGGAACGTTGTACTGGTATTGGGAGCTAGGCTGATGTTGGGTCAGGGTGATGCAACGTGGCCCGAGGAGGACTCTGCAGATGTTACATTAGGAAAATGTCCTTTCCACGGGGTGTGGATCCACCCATCGTCCTCTCTGAGCCACGTCCCCATTTGCTGGGAGGGAGGATTGAAGGCAACCCTACAGGGTTGGAAATTTTCCCCCAAAATGGCCTCCCACCAAGTTCTCCATCTCAACGCTGGGCTCGCAACCCAACGGCGCGCACAGAGTCTCCCCGCGCACTCGTCCCACCTCTCAGCCTCCCCAAACCCTGACAGACCCAGTGAAGAATAACTTGCAAGAGAGATACAGGGAATTTGCTGGCTGGAAGCAAGGCAGGTAGCTCGTGCTGCAGAGCCCACCCCTTGTCCCAGAAGGTCCCAGCCTGCCGTCAGCCCTGCGTACGCGTAGTCTCCAGGAGGAATGAGATAGCCCGCATATGGTATGGATTTGCACAGGATCCAGGAGACTCGCTAAATGAGGGAGCAGTGGATCGGAAGAAAAACTCCCAAATATACAGATACGCTTCAGGCCATCTGTCCTCAAGCAACACCAGCCATAAGCCACCTTATAAAGCACATAGGAGATGTCACAGCAAGAAGTTGCTCATGTGAAACTACTCTGACATGCCATAGCAATTGCACCCAAGGAAGAAGCATCCTCCTGCTGCAATGAGGCCATTGCAGGAGTTGGTAGGTGGACAAACGGCAACGCTGCCTCCAAAGCTAGCTCCAACCACAGCAAGGTCTTCCCACCTCTCGTTCACATAAGATGTAACCCAGCTCCCGCAGCTGGGTCTCTGGAGAAAACACCAGGCACAGTCCACAGTTGGGAAGCATTTGCTTAACATCAGGCTGGTGCCAGGTGTGTCTGCTGCAAATCCATGCATCCTGGCTTCAATCTGTCTGCAGGAAAGACAGCAGCGGTAGGTCTGCACTCCCTGTGCTTGCCGTGAATGAATGGCTTTTTTTTTTTTTTTTTCCCTTTTAGATTTAAAGGCAATAGAGTGCCAGTAATTAAACTAGTCTAAAGAAGCAAGCCCAGCCACCTCAAACACAAAAGCTGTTGCAGAGCCATGAGATTAATCCACATGAATATTAAAGACACAGAAACTACCAACAAATCCAGAAGGAACCAAACTGGGTGACGAGGGAGACCCATACACAAACCTGCAAGCCCTGATTTCACATCTTCTCCAGCCGCCGCGGGAGGAATGAGGGGCTTGAGCAGATGAGGAGGATGCAGGGGAGGGGGAGAGGGACCCCAGCAGCAAAGTCTGCTCCCTCCTTCAAGCAAAAACACAACCCCTAGCAGTCTGCCTCCTCCTCAAATTAGTTCAGGCAGAGCTAAACTGAGCATCACAGGGTGGGAAACCGGTCTGGGTCCAGAGTCCTCATGGTCCATCACCCCCTTGGTGGGACATGATGGGCACCTCGTGGGATGGAGAGCACTGGGGAGCTGCTGGAGAAGAAAGTGCTTCTCAGCAGGGGATAAGCCAAACCAGGCAGCCTTAAATGACCCGAAAGGAGGGTTACCAAAGCAATGGCAGGCGAGTTTATCTCCCTTCACTGTTTTCTTTCAAAGAACTGCCTCCTCCCATCGCGCGGAGCAAACCGCCCAGCTGGGACCCGAGCTGACCTCCTGCTATGATTTTTACTATTCCTGACAGTGGCTTTGCCAAGCCCGCTCAAACAGAAACATTTTTCCTCTCTCACGTGGATGTTGTTTTCGTTACATCTACCTTGGAAACCTACACGCTGCCATTCAGCATAACCGGCAAGCACAGCAGATATGGGGAAGCTACACAGCCCTCAGCCCTGCTGGACCAGCAAACCCCCTTGGAGAAGCCCATTAGCCACACCAGGTTGCCACCGTTATCCTGTTTTCCAGAGCTGGCCTTGCTGTTGAGAAACAAAGCTGGCATTGAGGGGGAATTCAGCTCCCAGGGCTGCGGGTGCTGCTTTTAACAGAGACGACAAAATAAAGAAGAGAGTTTTGGTTACAGGGTGCAGAATAACCTGTAAATTGTTGTTTATAGGGCTGGTTAAGTGCCCTATCAATACAAATAGTGGCAATGACTGGAGACTGGTGGGCTGTACTGGGGAGGAAGGTGAGATGCTGTGGCAGGGAAAGCATTTGTCCCTCCAGGGCTTTCTGCACACCAGGCACTTTTTAACTTAACTGATGCAGCCACTCACATGTTTTCAGGACCAGTCACTACCCACCACATATGAGGTGAGGTTTCTCTCATACCAGTGGGTTATTTCATGTTAGCAGGGTGTCCCCTACGGGCTTTTTTGTGGTTTTAATGGGTGTGAGGTTCAGCTGCTCCTCAAACTCCTGGTCCTGGACCTCTGGAGGTTGTGGGACACCCAGTGTCAGACACCAGAAATTGGACCAGGGGAGAATTAGTGAACCCGGGTAGACCAGCCATCCATGTCACCACAAGAGCCAAGGAATTTGCCAGTTAATTAACACAATACTATTAGGAGAAGGTCGGTGGCTTGGGGAGAAGCCTGCAGCCTTGTTGAGCTCTTTCCACAAGACTCTAACCCCTCAGTTAACCTGATGCTTTGACTCTGCTTTTCCCAGATCAAATTCCTGTCCAGTACAGTTCCTGCACTTGCAACTTCTATGTCAGATGAAGCCTTTAAGAGACCAGATTTTCAAACAGATGCAGGTCATGGTGATCTATCTAACAGAGAGGTGTCCCTTGCCGTCCCCAGGAGCCGGGATGGGAGGCCGGCAGACGGACAATGCTCCGTTTCACAGCTGCTGATTAAACTCTGATGACAATGCTCGGCAAAACGCCAAATTAATTAGCACTAGCCACACGATCTACAGGTCCCTTTTGGAGTTAAAAAAAAAAATCTAAGAATTTTCCAAATTCATTTTCGCACACCTCACTGGCCTGACATTTTCCCTTGAATTTGCTGTACCTGGAGCTGTGTCTCTCTTTCACAGGGGGCTTGTGCCATTTTTAGATGCCGTGAGTTTGAACGTGTGACAGAAGGATCTCTGAGCCTTTACAGCTCTTGGCCTTTCAGAGAAGATGGACTAATCTTTGGCTGATATTTAGCAGAGGCTTGCAGTGCTGCACACGACCTCCTGCTTGATATTGTTATGACCTTTCAGCTTCATTTGTGAGACCATGTCAAAGTTGTTTGATTTCAGTTCCTCTGCAGGACCTTCAAGCAGACTTTTTGTGCCATGGCAAATCACAGAACACCCAAATTAGCTGTTTCTGTACTTAAACAGCACGGAGGGAGAATGGCAAAGTGCTTGCCCAGTGCAGTGAGAACCGGGCTGGTGAATGCACCCTGTTTTACAGAGGAGGAGGTGGAAACTGGGCAGAGGACAGAGCTGGCCTGGGCAGCAGAAGTGGTAGGACGTGGACCCAGGGCTATACCCTCTCCTCTGCATATCTCTCATGAAAAGTTTTTTGTACAACTGCAGGTTTCTGCCATGCCATTCCCTTCCCCACTGCCTCTTGGTGACGCTTTGGGGAGCAAAGCCACCTCTTCCCCTTCCAGTCAAGGTCTCCTACATCACCCCATGCTTGCAGGTCATTTACAGGTATCACCCCACCCAGGGCTCCCACACCGATTAGTGTGTTACCATTGGTAGGAAGATGAACCAAAGAACAGGGCTGAGTTTCTACCAGTAGCAGCCTAGATACCCCTTTTTTGCCTTACATGAACCATTTTTTTCCAGCAGCATGCAGTTTTCTGCCCTGCAAACCATGGACACATATGACCAGGAGTAGGAAGATGCATCCTGGAGGGCACTGGGTTTTTTAGAATTTTACAATTTAAGAAATTGTAATTGGATCTTTTAGCTGGCCCAGAGGTTCCTGCTGGCTCCAGAGAGATGTCTTCATCTGCTCCAGACCGAGGAGGGACCACGCTTTCCCCTGTCAAACAGCTGGGATGGTGGGCTCATTCTCCAATTCTACTTTTTCCTTCAAGAGCCCCATGCTGGGAACTCCCTGCCTGTATCTTGCCTCCTGCCCTGCTCCACCAAGGGGCAAGCGTGGCTCACGGGGAGAGGGGAACAGGCAATAAACCTGGTTGATGGTCCCAGCCTGGACACTTACTCGTACTTTTTGTCTTTGGCACTTGCAGGGCAGGAACTGGCCAGTGCTGGGTCCCAGGCAGAGGTTTGTGCTTCTTCCCACAGCTTCAAAAATCCCACTGGAAGGGGGGAAAACAGCCCCTGCCCATCGTAGCTTGTCACCCAGGTGCACAGATGTACTCGACAGCGGACAACCTCACCGAGGGAGCATCCCAAATCAGTGCAAGCTCCCCAATCCCCACGTATATCATATTAAATCAACCTGTTGCCTGTTCTTCCCAGTGGAGCAAGGACTGCAACCGAGCACCAGGGATGCAGAGTGACCACATCCACTCTGGACACCTACGGATTTTTAGCCGGTGACCATCCCTGAGGCCAGATGGGAACCATAGGGAGCCCAATCGCTTCAGGTAACGCACCCGCAAGGAGAGACCCCATGGGGCAATGGGTACATCAGGAGAGACCCCATGGCTGAGGGTCTTGGGAGTACAGGGGCTGTGCATCTCGGCAAAGCAAGAGAGACCGGGAGGGTGATGGTGATGGCTATGAGGCTGGAGATGCACCCATCTGAGAGGGGCCAGGAGCATCTCAAAATTTCCCATCAGTCCAGAGCAAACAGACTGTACCATGCTCCTCCCCATGGGACACAAGAGCCTACCAGGAACCTGTGCGGTTGAGAAGCAGGAAAAAAAAAAAAAAAAAGCACTTTTTTTAGTTCCATGTGTGACCTCTAGGCCCCAAGGATTTTTACTAATTATTAAATTTCATTTATATATTTTGCTGTCTTCTTGGGGCGAAGGCTTTGCATTGCTGGGCTTGTATTGTTTCCGTTACAACCTGCTGGCGTCCAGAGAAACTTCAATTTAAATATCAGTCACACATTAAGGTCAGGCAGCTCAATTCCATTAAGAGGCGGCAAGACTCAACCTCCCTGTAATGAATGCTGCCCGTGCCTCCTAATGATACCAGCAGAGGAACTGGGAAGCACCAGCACAGAGTGATTGGCACCCCACTGACACCAGGGACCGCAAAATTGATTTTAAAAGTCCATTCATCTTCTACAAATCATGGCTTAAGTTTTCCTGACCTGTGACAAATCTGCATGAGCTTCAATTGAAGGATAGAGCCAAGAAGAGGAAAGAAAAAAAAAATAATCCACGAAAACCCTACAAAAAAAACCCCCAAAAGCAAGAAATAGATTTCAGCAGGGTTGCTCTGTCTCAGTTTCTAGTCCTCACCCCCAGCCATGTACTTCTGCCCATCACTTTATGAGCAAGGTTAAAGGTTTTTCATCCCACTGCCTGCCACAAAGAGCACATAGAGGATTTAAAGATACTACAGGATCCTCCCTGTCGCTGGACTCTTGGACCTTGGGTCAGGACAAGTCCACCCCAGTCAGACCTATTGGGTGCTAGTCTCCATCTGCTTTTGACAGCCCAACAGCCACCAACACTGGGACATCCACCTCCCACCCCCTGGGCTCTGTATCTGGCTGGGAAGAAGCTTTGAGGAGCTGGCAATTGCACGGCAATGAAGAAAATGAGAAATGAGCAATGAAGGTGCCCACCCCATTGCTTTCCCGACCTCTTCCAGCACGGCCCTGTGGCCGGTGGTCCACAACACTTGCAGTTTCTCTCCCTGCTTCTACAACGACATGGTGTAGCTGCTGTCACCCATGGCCAAAGCAGGACCTACAAAAACATCAGAAAATATGTTTCCTACTCTTCAGTACAATTAATTTAATCCCGAGGGTGCAGCCACCTCATGGCTACACCAGACCAGTACAAGCTGCAACTTCTTATAGAGCCTTAATTTATCAAAGCCCCATTCAGATACCAAGGTGAGGATGTTCTCCACCACGTAACACAACAACATGGAGAAGAAGCTGACTTGGGCTGAAGTCACGAGTTGTTCTGCTGAAGCAAGATGACGATTTTAGTTGTGTGTGACTACCCAAGGTCTAACCAGCTCTGTGCCCAACACCATCGTTTCAGAGACCTTTCAAAACTGTAATCAGGATGAGGGAGAAGAGGAGGTGAGGAAGAGGATGAAATAGGACTTTAAGGCACTACCACAGCATAAGAAGTCTGGGTTTCAGGCTGTAAGCTGTCACGTCATTATTGCTGAGCATTTGGGAGGTTTATAATAGCTCTTTTACTCTGTAAAAATCATCCTTCCTGAAGGAAAACATTTATTCCACTCAAATACAAATAAGAGTTAAATACAGGCAGATCAGTTTAACAGTGTAGTTATGCCTATTAAAGCGACTGTAAAACTAACATCAAGGCATTTCACATTAATTCCCTCTCAGCGACTCCAGATCTGATTTACTTCGACAAATCCCCTGCTGTTGAGAAGTGGCCACAAGTCTCCATGGCCCTGTATCAGCTGGCATTGCAAAAAGTCACTGTCGGACTCAAAAAGTCAAGATCTGTCAGCTACGTGGGGAAAGCAAACTTATCAATCAGAGCAGCTAGATAAAGAAGTCGTACAGTTAGTGTCAGCAGCCAGGTTTTCCCCCAGATCATCATTTTTAAGCAGATTTCATAGAGGAAATGGGGCCTGAATCACTCTTCCCACTACTGCAGTGGGTGACCTTGGGAAAATGCCTCCCTGTGGTACAAAACAAAATAATGTTAAAACCATTCTGGAAAAAAAAAAAAACCAAACAAAACCAAAACACATATATATGTGTCTGTTACACCAAGAAAGAATTGAGGTTTTTATTTTTCATCCAAAAATCTCAGCTTTGTCAGCTTTCTATTTCATTTTAAATCTATGTCCTGAAGAAAGCAGGGATATCTGACCAAGATTTTATGGCTAAATAAAATTCTTCAGACATCTCCTGTAACACACTTCCTCAGTAGTGGCCACAGAAAGGAGGATGAAAACCAGAAATCCACTTTTCCCCATCCACACTTACATTTTCCCAGGAATTTTACCTACAAAGGAGCAGAATTGTCTGCATATGCCTTGTTCCCTGAATTTTATACCAGGTGGCCAGCGAGATGGGCACTGGTATGTTGCACAGATGGAGAAAAGAAGGTGGGAGACCAAAAGCACTTACTCAACCTTAGCGAAGACCAGAGGGTCCAAGTGGGGATCTGCGGAGCTGGCGGTCACCTTGTTGTGCCCACTGCCCACCTGGACCCACATGTGTCCTTTGGGTAAGCACAAACACGGCCAACACTTTGGAGAGAGCAGGTTTCTGCTCCGGGTGTTGGACACAGCCCAGCTGCTTGGCCTCGGACCAGACCCGTGGTGGTTTAGGGGTCTTCCCCATGCAGATGTGGCCGTGGAAGTGGATATCCCTACCCATAGAAAATCCCCTTGTTTGGAGGGGATGACCCCAGTGCAGAATGGAAGGGAAGCATCCAACATTGAAGTTTATGGCAGGCGAGAGCACATCTGCACCCCTGTCCACGCCATCTGACTGCCCATCCAGCCCTAGGAGTGGGTGTACCCCCAGGGACTGCTGACCAGAGAGCAGGGACCACCGAGGTGTTGTCATCTCCATCCCTGAATATATCCCAGACTTGGCTGGGCAAGACCCTGAGACATTCAGTAACTGTGAATGTAGCCCTGCCTTGAGCAAGAAGCTGGACCAAAGACTTCCAGAGGTCCCTTCCCCACTGAATTATTCTGCAACTATATCAGCCAGTAGAAGATGCTTTTTTTTTTTTTTTTTTTTTAAGAGCATCTTCTGGGGCAGCTGGGTATGTGCCTCCACATTACAGCTCTTAAAGCACCACCAACATGGAAAAAGTCTCCTCAACCCTCGTAAGGGGTGTTCTTGTAAATGCACACACACACGCAGAGAGTGGTGCAGCACTTCTGCATCACGAGGAGAGCAGGCTTCACTCAAAGACTGGAATGAAAATAATCCTAGATGTGCATTTTCCATTTATATTGTCAGTTCACAGTGTAACTGAACCTTCAGAGAAAGCAAAAAAAGATTACAAGATTTTTTCACAGCGCTAATGGCTGAATCCAGGAGAAGACTTCTGCCCAAGTTTAAATAATACAGCATGAAAAACACTAACCCATGTAATGTCCGTTGGATGGTGGTTCTGGCAGATATCAAGTAGAAGAGAGAAAAGCAGCAAATACAGAGGTGTATTTCGGAGTCAACCCAGCTCTGGGAAAAAAAAATAACATCTGTTCAAGCCACAAAATCTGTTGACTCCTCAGAGCTCCCAGTTACAAACAAAAAGGAATTAAAGTTGGGATCTGAACTTCTCAGTGATGTTAATTAAAGCCTGGCGCCTCTAGAGCGCCAGCCGAGCCGCACGCTGCATTTCTAAAATTTCTTCCGTGCTTTTGAGAAAGATGGACTACAAAGCATCTAATCCTGTTCCTCCATTCAGAAGAAGCATTTTGACCAAGCAAATCAAACCCAGCTCTATTAGGAGGTGCTGGTTGGCTCAGAAGTTGCCCGAGATTTGGCAGATCTGCAAACATCTAGCCCCAAAGAGATGCCTGCAGGCAGTCCCCAAGCCCTGAATACCCTCACACAGAAAGCTGGATGGGCAAAATCCTGACTCTTGACATTTTACAGTGGGATCATTCTTATTTTTTAGAGAAACAACAAAAGCTGTATGGATGGCAAACTTCCTCCAGGACAGGTCATTTACTCTTCTGATCCATTGGAGTATATGGATTTTGCTCTCCGTGTTTCAGGGTAGCAGCACAGCAGTGTAAAGCCCCACTACCATTAACCTGTTTGTAGTTTTAAATGCAGACATGCTCTGGTATTACAGGTGCAGCTTGGGCAGAGTTGCCGAACTCCTGAATGCCCCATTTTCTCGATGACAAGTGGTGGCTCATTCAACCAAAGCGCCCAGCCCTTCAGAGCAGCTCAGCTTGCCTGACAAAAGTCTTCTTTTCTCTTAATATTGTGGAAACCAGTCAATGGCCACCCCCAACCCCTGCCCAGCTTGGATGCGGTGGAGACCCACAGTTCTCCTAACCATTACTAAGCCACACGGACAAGAATCCCCAGCCCGTGGTGTGGGATCTCTCTGTGTGTGTTGCTGCTTTTCTTTGATTTTCTGGTCCATCACCCACTGCCCTGAGAGCCTCCCGGGCTTCCTACTGTGTGTTGCCCTCCCTCCTCCACCATCACCCAGCACTTCCACACAAAAGCTCAGCTAAAACCTTTGCACAGATGCAAATTTACCAGGAAATTTAAGCCCTGCTCTTTGGAGAGAGCAGGACACCAGAGGTGAAAGCCACTTTCCTCACCGTGGAAGGTGGTATGCACGTGGACACGCAAAGAAAGCAACTCCTACAGCTGAAGGTCTGCACCACAGCCAACCCCAAACCCCAGGAGACATGGGGAGCAGACCCCTCACGGCAGGCACCGATAAGAACAAAGCACATTTTCATTGGCTTTTTGGTGTCGGAACCTTGGCAAACACTTTGCATTTTCATGTTACTGTTGTGTTCTAGGCTTTTATCCCTTTTTCTTTTTTTGATCACAAAGTTTCATTATATTTGTTGG